TTTTTCAGTAATAAATTCATCATAAATACATGTGTACATTCTATGTATTAAAAATAGTTCCCTTAAACACGGGGAATCCAGCGTGGATGATCCCTTCAGGACCAGTGGTGTGAGTGGCGATACTGGGAGGGTAGAGGGAGAGTGGGTTGGTTATAAGGATCTACATGTGACCTCCTCCCTGGGGGACGGACAACAGAAAAGTGGGTGAAGGGAGACGTCAGACAGTGCAAGATATGACAAAATAATAATTTATAAATTATCAAGGGCTCATGAGAGAGGGGGGAGCGGGGAGGGAGGGGAAAAATGAGGACCTAATGCTGGGGGCTTAAGTGGAGAGGAAATGTTTTGAGAATGATGAGGGCAATGAATGTACAAATGCGCTTTACACAATTGATGTGTGTATGGATTGTGATAAGAGTTGTATGAGCCCCTAATAAAACGATTGGAAAAAAATAGTTCCCTTCTCCTGCCTATTTTCAATAGTTTTTGAACAGTAATTAAAACAAATTTCTCAATTTTTAGATAGTTAAGTGGAAGATTTGGTGTTGATATGAGTTTAAAAATTTCATTATCTTTGGGGTTTTTTTAAATTGTGAATTCAGTGGAGGTTTACATTTCAGATCATCAATTTTATATTCAAACTCCTCAATATCTTACTCCTTGATTTCTCTTCTCCCTATTGTAGAATATTACCTTCCCCTTCACCCAACTTAATGCCCATCCATCTTCTCACCTTTCCTCCCTTGCACACCCCTGCTAGTAACCACCCATGTCTAGTTTTGTTGTTTTGTGTTTTGGTATAAAAAAATTTGTTTTGATCTTTCCTTTATCACAGTAGTCTCAACAATATTTATCCTTTTGTGATTGACTAATTTCACTCAGCGCAATGTTCTCCACGTCCATCCATGCCCGTAAGGTGCTTCACAGGTTCCCCATTGCTCTTCAGTGATGTGCAGGATTCCATTGTGTGTAGGTACCAGAGTTTGTTCAGCCATTCTTCCACTGATGGGCAATTAGGTTGTTTCTATCTTTTTGCTATTCTGAACAGTGCGTGATGAGCATGGGCACATATATCTGTTTGTGCTATGACTCTTACTTCATTAGCAGCGGTATTATTAAGAACTTATTCTGTTTTGTTTGTTTGTTTTTAAGAACTTCTTGTATTTTTATGAAAGCTTACACTGCAAAGTATGTGCCCATTTGACATTTTCCATATAGATGATTCAGTGACACCAGTGACATGTTTCATAATGTGTGACCGTTGTCGTCATTTGTGTTCTGTTGTTCCATTTGTAGTACTCTAGTTTCCCTACCCCTTTTCCTCCTCACCCTTGGAGTAATTGTCCGCCTTTTGGTCTCCCTTAGATGGTTTCTGCATGGAGCACCCTACTCCTAAGCCAGTCTATCATTTCCCTAAAACATGATCTCAGCGTGGTTTGGGTTTAAAGTTGAAAGAGTATCTCGGGGCAATAGTCTCAGGGATTCCGGTAGTCTTAAGTGAGCCAGTACATCTAGACAGGGAGGGCAAACTGAGGGTTGGGAGCCATATGCCGCTCTTTCAGTACATACCTGTGGCTCTGAAGTAAAATTAAAGATGAAAATAAAAGTATCATAGTTTCATTTTATAAAATGAATTTATAAAAATTTCAAAGGATAAGATTCAGTTAATGGTGATTTCATTTGTTTGTAAAATTTACATTTATGGCTCTTGATTAAATTTTAAATTGTTGTGAGGGACAGGATTGGCTCTTTAGTCTTAAAAGTTTGCGACCCGCAGAGCAACGGGCGGAGGAGAACAGAGAGCTCCTGAGGGAGTGCAAAGGACAGACTCTGGGGCCAGAGCATGGCATCCCATCGGACTTGACTGGAGGACATGCCTAGAGTTCAAAAATCAAACCTTATCTATTTATAGGCTTTTCTTTCTTTTTAAAAAAAATTAATTTATTCTTTTATGGGTCATTGGTTTTCTTTTTTGTTGTCATCGCGGTGTTCTCATTCATCGCCTATCTTGCTATGGATTTTTGGTGCGTATTATTATCTCTACAGATCTAGCTACATAAGATAGGCTGGATGAACAGTCTGGAGGAGAAAACAATGGGACCAATAGTTGCATGTCTCTTCGTTGCTACACTGCATCCTGACTGACTTGTCTCCTCCCCATGACCCTTCCCGTAAGGGGATGTCCAGTTGCCTACAGATGGGCTTTGGGTCTCCACTCCGCACTCCCCCTCATTGACAATGATATGATTTTTGTTCTTTGATGCTTGATAGCTCATCCCTTCGATACCTCGTGATCACACAGTCTGGTGTGCTTCTTCCATGTGGGCTTTGTTGCTTTTGAGCTAGATGGCCACTTGTTTACCTTCAAGCCTTTAAGACCCTAGATGCTATATCTTTTAACAACCAGGCTCCATCAGCTTTCTTCACCACATTTGCTTATGCACCCGTTTTGTCTTCAGTGATCGTGTCAGGAAGGTGAGCATCATGGAATGCCAGTTTAATAGAACAAAGTATTCTTGCATTGAGGGAGTACTTGAGTGGAGGCCCAATGTCCATCTGCTACCTTAATACTAAAGCTATAAATATATGCAGATAAATCTATTTCCCCATCCTCATACATAAATATATTTACGTATGTACATGCCTTTGTTTAGACCTCTATAAAACCCCTTTGCCTCCTAGCTTTTTTCTCTACAGTATTTCCATTTATTTTCCTCTTGTCCCACTATCATTCTAGCAGGTCATTTTCTGAGTCAGTAAATATTCTTGTATATGTCTCTTTATACAGGTGAAATAATTTAATAAGTATGACAGTCCTATTAGGGTATATTTTTAGTTATGGAATTACTTTCACATATGACATATGTGTCTTCAAGTTAACTTAATATTGTCAAAATGGTGTACCAGTTCTAAATTTCATTGTCAGTAGTCCACGGTTCTCATTGCCCACTTTCCCTAATGCGATAAGCATATGCTTTTATAGTTAAGCCTTTGAATTGGTTTCAAATCAGATTTTTAAAATAGAGGTGTAAGTTGTCATTACAAAATGGAGTGGACATGAGTCAAGGATGAGTCATTTTTTAATGCTAGTTTCTTTAATGGTACACTCAGAATGTGGTTTAATGACTTCAACTGGTTCTGTGTGACTTACACTCACATTATATCTGTTGATGCTGAGTAATCTTATGAATATTGGTCTTTTATTTTTTTGCTAACTAATAGAAAGTGATACACTTTGGGGCAAAACACGAAAGGAGTGTAACAGAGCAGCAAGGGGAGCAAAGCAACCAAGTCCCCAAGGAACCCCAAAACAGACTTCAGACTTGAAGGGTAGGATTTGGCACCTCATCAGACTCAATTGGAATACATACATAAGGGTCAGCAGACAGACCTGGAACTTCTTCTTCTTTTTTATGTTTATCTATATAAGATAGGCAAGATAAACAATCCCAAGGGAAAAACAAAAGGACCAACAGTTCCGGGGGGTGGGGTGGGGGGGAAACAGGTGACAAGGGGAGATGGAGGAAAGGGAGGGGGTAGCAACAAACTCAGGGAGAAGGGAACAAGAAGAGATCTAAAATTTATTGCATGGAGAGTGTGAAATGTCCGGTGGGGTTTGATTAAGTGAAGTGCAATGTAGCCAAGAGGAATTAGTGAGAGCCAAAAGAAGATCAAACATGATAGGGGGACAGGAGGAAAGTAAAAGGAAATAGAGGAAAGAACCAGGAGGCAAAATATATTTATAGAGGTATAAATATAGGCATGTATATATAAATATATTAATATATAACAATAGGGATATAGGTCTATGTACATATATTTATATGTTAAGTATCAAGGTAGAAGATGGACATTGGGACTCTACTCAAGTCTTCCCTCAACGCAAGAACACTTTGTTCTAATAACCTGGCATTCTGTGATGCTCACCTTCCCAACACGATAACTGAAGACAAAGCGGGTGCATAAGCAAATGTGATGAAGAAAGTTGATGTTGCTCAGCTATCAAAAGATATAGCGTCTGGGGTCATAAAGGCTTGAAGGTAAACAAGTGGCCATTTAGCTCAGAAGCAACAAAGCCCACATGGAAGAAGCACACCAGCCTGTGCGATCATGAGGTGTCAAGGGAGCAGGTATCAGACATCAAAGACCCAGAACAAAAATCATATCAATGTAATGAGGGTGGGGGTGTGCAGAGTGGAGACCCAAAGCCCATCTGCAGATGATTGGACATCCCCTTACAGAAGGGTCACAAGGAAGAGACGAGTCAGTCAAGGTGCAGTATAGCACTGATGAAACACATGCTGCTAGTTCTTTAATATTTCCTCCCCCCACTATCATAAGCCCCGTTCTACCTTACAAATCTGGCTAGACTGGAGCATGTACACTGATACAGATAAGAGCTCTTGACACACGGAATCCAAGACAGACAAACCACTCAGGAACAATAATGGGAGTAGCGATACCATGAGTGTAGGGGGACGGTGGGAGGAGAACCAATTACAATGATCGATGTATAACCCCACCCCCACCCCCAGGGGGACAAAACAGAAATGTGGGTGAAGGGAGACAGTGGATGGTGTAAGACATGAAAATAATAATATAAATTATCAAGGGTTCACGAGGGTGGGAGGATGGGGGAGGGAGGATAAAAAAGAGGAGCTGATACCAAGGGCTCAAGTAGAAAGAAAATGTTTTGAAATGATGACGGCAACATATGGGTAAATGTGCTTGACACCATGGATGGATGCATGGATTTCGATAGCTGTAAGAGACCCCAATAACATGATTTATTAAAAACTAAAAACAAGAAAAGGAAATTATATACTTTGTTATCAAAGCATAGAAGGAGGACACATTTCAAAATGATTCTATTTTTAAAGCACTGTAGATTGAATTTAATCCAAGTAGATGACCTACATTGAAATATCTAACATAGTATCTATTGTATTCTTCTGTTTTAGGAAATTGAAATGTGAGCCTTCAGAAAGACTAAGTTTACAATGAGAAATGTCATCGTTAAGTATTTATTCTACGGGTCCATTATATTTGGGATCTGGGCCGTTCTGTTATTTAGTTGTTGTCACCGTAATCATGGAAATAACCAGATAAATAATATCAAGAAGCCTGAATCAGTTTGGCCCCTTGAAGCAACGGTACATCAGCAAGATACCAATGACTCAGAGAAAATACTAAAATCACAGTTAAGAGCAACAAAAACATTTGATGAAGCTGAAAGTAAAGAACAGATCACACATTTTCATTTAAGTGAGTATTTTGGTGTTCTTTGTTAGCCATTGCAAGGGGGAAACAGCACATCTTTATGCTTTTGACGTGTGAACTATACTCTTACTAGAGCAATTGAAGCAATAATTATGAAATATTTAAAATATGCACAGTACATACACATACACCAAACAGTAAAACAGCAAGCTCTCATGTCCTGACCAAAACATTTTACCAGTTGCTATGTTTACATCTGATATTTTTCCTTTTTAAAAAGAAATGGAAACACAGGGAATCCAGGACTGATAAACCCCTCAGGACCAGTATTGAGAGTAGCCATACCAAGAGGGGAAAGGGAAGGTAGGGGGAGAAAGGGGGAACCGATCACAATGATCCACCTACAACCCCCTTCCAGGGGGATGGACAACAGAAAAGTGGGTGAAGGGAGACATTGGTCAGTATAAGACATGAAAATAATAATAATAATTTATAAATTATCAAGGATTCATGCAGGAGGGAGGGTGATGGAGGGGGAAAAATAAGAATCTGATACCAAGGCTCAAGTAGAAATAAATTGCTTTGAAAATGATGATGGCAACAAATGTACAAATGTGCTTGACACAATGGATGTATGTATGGATTGTGATAA